AAGGTGCGCTGACTCCGAGCTTCAAATTTGGCAGGACACGAGTTCGATTCCTTGTACTTGCAGTCTCAAAAAGCTATTTACGAATAATTAATTATAGGAAATAATTACAAGGCCATTGTTGTTAGATATACTCGATAAATTAAAATAATATAAAAATAATTTTTGTTGTTGTAATTCACTACTTTTCGAAAACTCTCTGTTAAAAGATACTAATATTATTCAAAGAGCTCTGAAATGAGTACATTTATTAGTTCTTGAATTGCTTACTTTACTTTACTCATATTTTAACCATACTGCAATAAATTTCATTTCATATCTAGTAATTCTTTTCACTAAATCATTTGGGTCTTTAATATCCTCAAGCATGACTGATATGCATTCTTGTATTTACAGGAAAACATGTCGTATGACAATACCACACATTCCATCAAATTAATATAAAAAAATTATATAAAATAAAATGAAATGAAATGAAAAAATAAAATGAAATAAAATAAAACAATGAATATTTTTATTAAAATATACGAAAATAAAAATGCGATTAAAAGAGAAAATTCATATACGCGAATAAACCAAGGCAACAAATTTAATTTTGCAAATATGCAAATGAAATTTTTGCCACTTTGTGCGGCGGTTAAAATACGCGTTTTTACATTTTTGTGGTGACTTAAAATAATTCACAACAAAAACATATTTTTAAAACATTGATTTCGAACTCAAAAACAAAAAAAAAATGTCTGTCTCCATTTCTGTTGAAGATACACAACAGATATGAAGTATACAGTGGTGGCGAAAAAATGTGCACCACCCATATTTTAATCATATGTTGACAATTTTATAGCAAACGTTTATAAATAATGGAAAGGCTATAATGTCATATCATATCGGTCTACTGAAACTGATTTATAATAGATTGAATCGCTTTCGCATGCTTCAATAAATATAAAGAATTTAACATCCTTCATAAATTTGAACTGCGGTCGAATCTCTGCGAAGAAAAACATCTTCAGATGCGTAAATTTATTAAAAAATATATATAAAATGCCACAATAAATTTATAAGTAAAACGATTTCATATTTATATTTAATTTTTAACATTCTTTGATTTTTTTCTTATTTTTATGAATACTGAAAAACCAGGTGATGTCTGACAATATTATTGACAGCTCTTTGAGAAAACCAATTTCCAGGGAATGAAAAATTGTTGCTTGCGCTGACAAAATTTGTGTAAAAAGTTTGTTTCGTAAATTGTTGTAAATTGAAGGTTATAGGTTTCAACCTTTGTCATGTTTAATTTATTGTGATTTATTATGACATTTCGAGTAGTATGAGTTTTCTACCACATTTTGCTTATTCTGTGCTTCTTCTTTTACAGGCTTACCGGCGGAAGTATTTCTCTACTGGCATCAGTATCCTTATTTATTCGGATTGCCATTTTGCAAGATACGCGCATTTATTTCCGAAGCGTAAGTAAAACAATCATTATAGCTTTCATTTATTTTCTGTTAACTTATTTAAATAAAATTAAAATCTACTTAAAATGTTATTTTTACTCCTACAATTAAATATATATATATATGTTTTCAGTTCAACGTATGTTTCTGTGTTGACTATTGTGGCATTTTCTACAGAACGTTTTCTCGCAATTTGTCATCCATTGCATCTCTACGCGATGAGTGGTTTTAAACGTGCTCTGCGTATTATTACTATTTTATGGACTGTTAGTTTTATTAGTGCTATACCTTTTGGTCTACTGACTGATATACAATATATGAACTATCCTTTGGGTAAGTTCACAAATATGCATATCCCGCATAAGCAGAAAATATCATTAATTAAATATTTTGTATTTGGTTTTATTTTTTTTCTATGTTCTTCAGATAACTCAACTATAGCAGATTCAGCTTTTTGTGCAATTAGACCTTTTGACTTTCCTTTTTTCGAGATTTCATTTTGTGTCTTTTTTGTTATACCGATGATACTCATTATAATACTCTATGGCAGAATGGGCGCGCAAATCCGATCAAGAACTACTCAACAATTGGGTGAGTATTCAAGCTTTTTTTTGGTTTAAAATTTTTCATGCTTAATATACATATAAAAAATTTTTATTATTTATTATTATAATATTAATGTATTCTATATTATTTTTGTATTAGGTGTTCAACAAGGTTCCATGCATAGGGAATCGAGGCATCAACAATCACGTAGAGCTGTGATACGTATGTTGGGTAAGTAAAACTTTATATGCTCTAAATGAAACTTATACCTTACTAAGGAAGATAAGTGAAAAACAGACAATATTTTTTTTATCTAACATATGTATTCGTTCTCTGACAAAATACAATGTTTGAAAAAATGTATTTTATTACAAACTGTTCAATAAGTTTGCGGAACGCCATTTGGAATTTTTTAGAATGACAAATTTGATCATTGTACAATGATTACTTTCTGGTATGAGAATGTATACCAAAATGGTATACCTATAAGTACGTTCCTTTGTGTATCATTTCATTAGTTTATAATAGATAGGACTTAGAGGTCTATCAGCATTAAATATGTCACTAAATGACAACAAAAAGCTTACGTGTTAGCCTCTACCTATAAAATAAAGAAGAGGTGCTAATTGACCATCCATAATTTACATATTCAAACTAAACTAAACTAATTATTCAAGTTCTGTTTAAATCTTTACAAATCAGGCCATACCTAATAGTTACCTTTCAACTTATCTTTCAATGTTTAATGTGATAAATTGAGTTGAAAAAAATATTAAATTGGTTCGTAAAATTGTTTCAATTTTAGCTTCCCAATGCAATATTTCATAAAATATTTCATAAAAACCGTCACACACCAAATTTTATATTAAATTTTTTTATATTGCCTTTTATATTTGGCGATGAGAAGTGAGATCCATCATCAGAAAAATATGACTAGAAATGTATAAGAATCCAATATAGTAAGTTACCAGCGGAAGTAAATTCACTAAATTGATATTTTTTATTAAGATGAAGTGTGTGCTTCTACAAAGTGTCCTCATACGAGCCAATATGATGCATTTACATAAAACGAGCTGAATGAACAGCAGTTGAAGGTGATGGATATGTGTGCACATCCTTCGTTTATGTAAAGTGATGTATCTTGGGACAACATAAGAAAAAAGGGTTCTATGCAAATCTCTTAATAGGAAAGTTAAATTTATTTGTTTATTGTGTCCTATATTCGGAACTTGAATTTATATTTTAGTTAATATACGTCCAAAAAAAATATATATTTTAAATTCAATATTTAAGATGGAATATTTATATATATTTTTGTATTTAGTATTACAGTGATGGTTAAACAGAAATAAAATATTGATAATTTTGCCTACATGTGCTCGTGTTGTTCTTAAATATAAGCTGCTGCTGATATATGTCTACAATACTAAATCATAAAATGATATTCTTAATGCTAGGCTCTTCTTATTTATATGACATTCTAAATAATAATATTTAAATTTATTCCATAAAAAATGTACTGAACTAAAATAAACAGATCAATTTAGTTCTTGTCCCTGCTGGCTTTAAAGAACATGTAATTCGTTGCCATGTGAAATATCCTCCATAATCCTGTCCTTACAAAGCTTACTTCACTTACGTTGCCATCAATGAATAGAATGAATACAAATGTGTGATATTAAAGCTAAACATTATGAAAAATATACTTCAAGTATTTTATAGTTGGCATTCAAACGAGAATTTAAAACCAGCAACAAGTTCAGATACGAATATGAGAAAACTAAGACCATAAAAATGTGTTTTACGTAACCGCAGATTTAATTCAATTTTATGTAAAGAGTATTTTATGTTTTATAATAAAATTAGAATCCTTTAAAGCTGGTAGTCTAAAAAATAAATTTCATTAAAATTACAGATATGGGATTATCTGATTATAACTTGTAAACAAAAAATTCATTATGGGAAAAGGAAAATAAATTTAGTTAATTTATTATGCACATTTAAAACTTAAAGAAAAAAACAAAAACTAATAAAAGAAAATATTAAAAAATATTTGTAATAGAAGAAAATTTTAAATAATATTATTTTATAAAGAAGTTCTTTACAACAGTAGTGAAATACAACAACAAAAATTTTATTTTTTATATTATTTTAATTAATTGAATTTTTGGCTGACCATACAGCTGTTTTGAGTATTGCCAAATACCCATCATCAGTGGTCTTGGAAATAATTTTGTATTTAATTATTCGTAAATAATTATTTTTGAAACTGCAAGTACCAGGAATCGAACTCGGGTCCTGCCAAATGTGAAGCTCAGAATCAGCGCACCTTAACCAACTGATCCAAAGCCGTACTTGACTTTTTTGTTCGCATATTTTTCTAGAGTTTTGTTACTATTACTATGAAAGTTTTTATTAACAATTTTATATTAGAACGAAATATAAAATTGTATAAAATTGACACTACGAAATCATAAACCAGCTGTAGAATAATTGAATTAATATTATTTTTTAATGTAAAAAAAATTTCATTATTTCTAAATAAAGACAAATAAACCTCAAATATAAATTTGATATTGCGCTTACTATCTTATATAACATGGTCTAATCAATTATTTATAACCCCAGTCTATAAAAATAAACTTTACAATAATAAACGTTTTCCTAACTTAAATACGCTATTCAACTCATATCGTGATTAACTTTTAATAAATTTGCAATCGTCAGCTCATGCTCATGCTATATGTCAGGTTATGCTTAAGAATGAGTCTGAGACGGACTTCGCGTTGAACGCTTTGGCTATTCTCTCAGCATGCCCCTCCTTCCAGTGATTTGCTCTTCCATAAGTTTTTATGATACGCTTATTACTAATCCTACAGCTTCCTATATTATATTAACCACTTAGCTTTTTTTGATAAAATAAAACTATTTTCTAAAAATTGTAGCGCTACTCCTTCAAATTGTAGCACTAGTCCTTCTGTTACGCAGGCGCTACTAGACACCTGCGTAACAGACGTAAGCTTACGAACTCTTCTTATTCTTCCAGAGAGAGTTTGCAAGGAACGTTAATTATAATAGAATATGCATGTATAGAATTAAAATTTCTATGCATGCCTGCCTATTCCATGACCAGTAATCGGTTACAAATGATATAACATTGAGACAATGACAGTGTGTCATAGATACACACTGAGGCACCCTAATGATCTGGTATAAGTTTCTGTAACACAATATTTTAAAATGGCAGCTTAAACAGTATATATGGCAATCCACACCAACGATATGATTCGTCTATAATCTAAAAAGAAAATAACAACTGTGTTTTGTTCGTCCTTCCAACTAATATAATCAGGCTTGCTGACGGGCTAAGAGCTCCTTTTAATGACTATTATAGTAGCATTTATTCAAGAGAAGAAACAAGAAAATTTCTGTCCAGAATTGTTGTATTGCAATTAGAACACATAAATAACCTAAGTGAGAGACGTTTTCTTGTACGATGCGCTGCTATGGGTATTTTTTATAACACACAATTCTTCTCTTCTTATGTATATATCTATATATCCTAACATTTTTCACTTAAAATAAAAAGTATATTTCCGATTTTTTAATTTTTCAATTAGTAGAAAATTAACTAAGATTGGTTGCAGTTCTTTTTTAGACTGTTAGATAGACCTTAAAAAGGTTAAGACATAATTATAATAATATATCGTATAATAATAAATCATTCAGTCATCATCTAATAAACTAATATCACCAATCATATAAGACATTTGGTTATTTGGTTGCAATTGCGAGAACCAGAGAAATTTCCACGTATCTTTAATTAGCGGTTCTTCGCCATTTTTCCACCATATTCCTTAAGATAGAAGAATATAAACTAAATCCATCCTGTCGAGTTTAGATAATTTAATAGGTCTCTCATCTTTGCCGTTGAATAGTTTGATAAGCTGTTCAAGAAATGTCTCCCTAAAAACCTATTTCTTCTGGACGGCATTCATAGATAAAGGGTTTAATGCTTTCTTTTTCCTGTAGGTTTCCATAACTTTTGCAGTACGGATTATGTAGAATGCACGGTTTCTCTGTGTTATAAGACATTTAATTTCAATATTTTTTTAAGTTAACTTTACTTTTCACTCATCCTTACTTCTGTAGTATTAATAGTCTCATGTTCATAAATATTCATTTATTCTTATTTCAATTATTCAAAATAACATCAATAATGCTCAAATGAAAATTGGGTTAATTAAATTTTTTTATCCGCTGTCAATTTATATATATATTATATTGAGTTAGTCTTCTAAAATTTATGCAAAACAGTTTAATAATAGATGGTCATATCCTCAAGGAAATCATGATTCATTAATATTATTTTAAGATTTCAGTGTCCTTTTTGGTAAACTTTTTGCTGAAGTGACATCATCTTTGACATTTAAGTTGTTGTAATAAAAAGCAGCGAACCATTTCTTGACTGTTGGCTTATATCGTTAAAAGTATAAATATCCTTTTCATTTCTCTATGGTATTGCAAAAATGATTTTTAATCTTAACCGCTTCTTGCGTTTTACTATGTACCATAACATATTTCAATTTTATTATACCATTTATATCAATTATAGCGCTAATTATTTTCACAAGATTTTCGAAGAGTTTTTCCTTTAATGCAATAAAAACAAATCCTGCCAGGACACGAAAGATGAGCAAATATTTGTGTGTTCTCACTAAGAAAGTGGCAATGTTCTACGGTTGTATCTATGAACTTACATTTTATTGCCTTCATAAATTATAAAGAAATTATTTTAATGTCTTATACATTTTTATTGTGAACGAACTGCTTTAAGTTATTCTACTTATAAAAATATTTAAGAACAGTTTTTCAAGTAGTTTTTGTTGACAATGAAATTTACTACACAATAAAAATTTTATTTTCATTTAAAAATGTATTTAAATGAGAACAGTAACAAAATCTCATTATCTTATTGATATAATGTAAAACTATTAGAATACATAATACTGGATTCACACAAGAGTTTTCTTTGTAATTTTAGCTGTCAAAAATGTTTATTTTGCATTGAAAGCAACAACAATTGACAGCTAAAATTACAAACACAACTCACTCCCTGTATAAACTAAGCTAATTGATTTTTACACAACTTAATTGATCATATACATTCTGTTAAAAAAAGTCCACGGAATACACAACTTAAAAATTGAATATTAATATTTTTAAGTTGG